GCGGGGGGTCCCAGGTTCGATTCCGGTCAAGGGCATGTGCCTTGGTTGCGGGCACATCCCCAGTGGGGGGTGTGCAGGAGGCAGCTGATCGATGTTTCTCTCTCATCGATGTTTCTAACTCTCTATCTCTCTCCCTTCCTCTCTGTGAAAAATCAATAAAATATATTAAAAAAAAAAAGAAAGTAAACATTTAAAAAAATGCTCATATAATTTTTCTTCTTTATTCAGCTACTATACATTTGATAATCTGCTATTAAACAAAACTTGAATTCCTTGGGTAAACCTTACTTGGTCATAATATATTGTCTCTTTATACATTGCTGTATACTATTTTATATTGTTTAGTAATTTTCTATCTACAAACTAGTGAACACGGCCTGTAACTTTTCTTATTATAGTCCAGATCTGATTTGAATACCAAGGTTGTATCAGTTCCATAAAATGACTTGGAGAACGTTCCCTCTTTTACTGTTATCCACAAAAATAAATGTGACATGGGTCTTTCCAGGGCCCTACTTTTTGCAAGAATCTCTACTACAGAGTCTTATTTTTGAAGGTGCCCGATTCTTCTCTCCTGTGGCCTGCATGCTGCTGAAGCTAAATGTCTAGGCTCCTGAGGTCAGCAGGCGGCCCCAGGCAGGGATTCTTGATGCTTGCTTCGCTCTGTATTTGCAATCCCACATCCTGTGGGACCTGGGGATTTTCCTTACTTTCTTGACAGCTCAGCTATACATTTAAGATGATGATTTTCACATTTTACTTAGGAAATGAGAGCATGTCATACTTTCAGTAGTGAAAAAATAAACCCTATCTACTATTCATAAAAAAGCTTTCCTTCTTGGCGAAATATAATTTTGAGTGAGTACAGGGAAATATTCTTAAGAGTTGGTAGGTTGGGAATGAAGCAAAGAAGATGGCTATGACTGTGCAGTTTTATGAGAAAGGCGGAGAGCATGTGCATTTGCAGGATGGCAATAGTGACAGAGTAAGATGCAGCTCTGATACTGCAAGCTGTGTAGCTCATGTTAAATTAATTCAACTATAATATAATACAAAACAAGTTAATGTGAACTGCAACAAGACTCCCTCTGCAGTCATCAGCACTATTTCCTTTGGTTTCACTTCCCTGAAACCTCATACTCTGCCACTTAAAACAAAATAATACTCTGCCGCAACAACAACACAAGGAAGTACCAATAGGATGGTGATGAGGCTGAACCACTAGGATTGTGGAGACTGAAGAACAAGGTGCTGAGGGTTTTGAAAATTGAGAGAGGGAGTTTGGATGATGTGACCTGTGACTGGCTCTGTACCTGTGAACCTTTATGATATGAATACCTGCACCTATTGATCCATCCGTGATACATAAGGGGCTGCTGCTCTCCTCCTCCCACAACTCTACCTCTGTGGCCACAAAGTGTAGGGTTGGCTGCTTAACAATATTTACTGAACAGATAAAGGAAAAATTGGCACATCCATGGCTCTCTTCAAAACCATGGTCAATTATTTTATGTTGGTTACATATCAAAGCTACAATGGAATGGTGTCTTGGAAAAGTGGTGATGTTATTTTTAATTTATCAAATAACTATTCTCCCACCTACATTTTTTTCTCCTAGCCAGGATTCTACTGATACGATGATGTAGAACATAATCCTACCTCCTAGTGAGGGTATAGGCTTTTTTTTTTCTCTTCTAGTAGAATTATTTATGGAGTGGTTACCTACTGGAGAAATCAGGATTGAAATATTACCTTGCTTATATGTGTAATGTGAGATATTTTGAGGAAGAACAACAAAAAAAATCATAAACACACACACACACACACACACACACAAAACTCTCTCTTTTAATTTATCAAATAACTATTCTCCCACCTACATTTTTTTCTCCTAGCCAGGATTCTACTGATACGATGATGTAGAACATAATCCTACCTCCTAGTGAGGGTATAGGCTTTTTTTTTTCTCTTCTAGTAGAATTATTTATGGAGTGGTTACCTACTGGAGAAATCAGGATTGAAATATTACCTTGCTTATATGTGTAATGTGAGAAATTTTGAGGAAGAACAACAAAAAAAAATCATAAACACACACACACACACACAAAACTCTCTCTATGCTAAAAGGCTAACTAAACTCAATATTCTACTCATGAAACAATAGAGAAATGTTATTTTTCATTAATGATGACAAATGACACGAAGAGGAACTTAATGGATTCTATCATTTCCTATTTGTGTTTATTAAAGATTTTGAGCGGTTTCCTCTTTGGTCCTTTTTTTCTCAATAAACCTGCTTAGTGTTTAATGTTGTTTTAAAAAATACATTTATTTTTTATATTTTTGTACCTAATCTCAAGGTCAGAGACCCACTCAGCTGTGCCTGTGGGGACAAGCAGGCTGCATTGCTGATTTAGGGCTCACTAAGCAGGGAATGTTTCCTCTCCAACATGTGGGAGTGTATGAATGCCTTCTATTCCTGGACAGCAGCCTGCTCCATTTCACCTCTGCACCCCACACTGGACTCCCAAAGCAGTGGTCAATGTACCCTGAGGCATTTACCCAGGCTTCACATTTAAATTTCACAGAAACTTCTGAA